AGAGAGAGAGAGAGAGAGAGAGAGAGAGAGAGAGAGAGAGAGAGAGAGAGAGAGAGAGGGAGAGAGAGGGAGACGCGGGCACAACGCCTGCGAAGGAAGCATCCACATCTGGGCTTTTCGTTTTTAGGGAAGTAATAGTTCGATGTATAGCTGCCTCTTTGCTATGTTTCTTGCTTTCATCGTCTTCGAAATTGGTACACTTTCATCCTCTTGGGAAATTGATGAACAATCAACGGCTATCAACGCTTGTCAAACAGACCGATTTGCCAAGAGAAACCAATCGTGGAATATATCGTACCTGAGGGGGCGGGGAGCCTTTCGAAGCAACAAACGTATTCCTCCGAGATGGTGCAAGTTAGACACATGCCTTAAGACTGATGGTGAACACCCGACTGTTGCCCGAAGGATCCCGGCCCCCCCTCCCCGTGGAGCCAGAACCCGCGTACGGTGGGCGAAATCCTCTCCTTAGTAAGTCAACCAGCAACGGATAGTGCACGCAACGCATTCGTTAAAACATCGACTGTGCGGGTTTGTTTTTTGAGAGTTTCACCTTGGTGGCCTCGTGCTCACGGTGGAGGCGTTTTTCCTCCTCCCTCTTCTCGTGCTCCAGTTGTGCCAGCTCCAGCCTCTTGGATTCCTCTAGCGCGAACGTTTCGTCCAACACCTTTTGCGGGAACGAATCATCAGCCCCACAAACAGGTCAAGGGTCAGAAAGAGGAGGAGGGTGAGGTGCGCTCGAGTGTCCGCAATAGACCCACGCGCCCAATATACGGGCCAAGTTAGGAAGGCGTGCTGTTGGCAATCCAGGTCGGCGGTGATTTGCTCTGCGGATCGTCGTCGCGAGGGGTGACAGACTTGACTTCTTTCCAGTCTGGGCATTTCCACATTTCCAGGACTGCTTTGTGCGTAGAAACACTCCTCTACTGCTCGACGGTGCGTGACATTGGTGATCTCCCCTCACTCACGCGCATCACCTGGTACCTCGAAAACGTGGCACTCGGACAATAAATCCTGAACGCTTGGACTGTTCTTGAGCAGGACAATAAATGAGGCAACGTCTTGGGGGAGAGGGGAGCGGGGTACTCATTGTCGTGCATGCCGTAGTCGTTAGACCATTGACCTCGCATACCTACAAAGCCGGGACGAAGCACGCCGGGTTCTCACCGGACCAGCCTCTCACATCACCAAGCGCGAAGCGCCGTGAGATATTCGGCGAGTCGCATGAAGGGTGCGATGCATCCTGCTAAGGGTGTTCGGCATCTTGTGGTTACTTTGTTGCATACGGATGACAGCTGCGTATGACTTAAAGGTTTTTCTGGTGCATTCACTTCCTGAGACAGTTGTAAGCACTATGTAACTGCCTCGAGGGTGCTTGACCATTTTAACACAACGTGGTGCGATCATCCCCCTTGCGCGGAGTGAGGGTTCTCCACCCCGCACAACATGATCTACTCGACCACCATTATGGTTACCGCCAAAAAACACAGAGGTAAAAAAAAACGGTAACATGGTTGCCGAGTTCACGAAGTGAGTTGGCTTGTCTTACAACGTCGTTGCCAAGCGACGAAAACCCAACCCCAATGGCAAACACCTAGGGGGGGCTACATCTTGGGGGGGGGGACATATATATGCAAACGAACTAATGCAGGGTAGGCTTGTCCGCAGGAGTGACGCATCACATGCGGACGAGCTTAAGGAGATGCGAAAGTGGGAGGAACGGCACTGTTCGGGAGCAGTACTCGTAGACGTCCCACTCCATGAGCGACTCTAACTTCTCCCGCAATCAATCGGATGAAACACGAAGGGAAAGGTCATGGTCGGAACTTCGTAGCGCGCGAAGCACAGGAGCCGTTGCGGGCGAATTAGATAGGCAACCGTGGTTTGGTCAATACAAAAAAGTGCTTGTATCGGTTCAAGACAATGAGCGATTGCGGGCGAAATGAATCTAGGCAGTTTCTTTGTCGATTGGTCGAATCCAAAGGTGTTTTTTTGGCCGGCCGGTTCACGAAAACGAACAACAATCGCGAACGCTAGCGGCGCTAGGCGTCACGTTACCTTTCTACGGAGGCGGAAGCGCAGCCTCATCTTCTCCCACTCGCAGTGCTGAGTCCATGTCTTCTGCAGGAGCCGCGCTGCGCCGTCCTCTAGTCGAGCCCGCGCTTCCTCCTCGGCCTTCTTCACCATCAGACGCGCTCGCTTCGCAAACCTTCGTTGTTGTATTCATCATCACGAGTCACGCGGGAGCGTCGAGCTGGTGGTAGTAGATGCACGTCAAATAAGGAATAAATGGAGTGTATAGATCAGCCGCGCTTTTGCTGTGCAATTCTTGGTGTCGCAGCTGAAAACAAACGCCAGGGGCGCCAAGGATCGTGCCACACGAACGGGCATCGTTGGTTTGACCGGAAAGAAATAAGTTAAGGAACGAAACGACTATTTCTTGTTGGGTGTAATGGAGCTACGCATGAAGCCTACATATCAGGACGACGCACGCCTGACAAGAGATACAGCAGAAGGGGGGCTTTCGCGCAACAGTCTACATGCAGCTGAGTGTGGTGAGTCGACCCGTGCAGAAAGATCTCGGTGCCGTGTGTTAAAAGCGAAGGGGGACACGGTCAATTGTCATGTGGAACGTATTCAGGCCTGTGGCACAAAGTCGGGAAAAACCGGGAGACGATCGTGTCGAAATGTGTCGAGTTTGGCGTGATACGTCCCGATGAATCTCCAATAAAAATTTGAGCCGAAGTAGGTGAGCGTCAGGTTTACGGCGTGCTGGTGGTCTATCGCACATCGGGTCTAGATACATCGCCAATTTTTCTTTGCGCCCTAACATGCTCACCGTGTTTGGCGTTGTGCATCAGGTACAGCGCTTGCGCTTCCGAGCACAACAAAACTCGGTGTGTGCGCAAAAAAAAAAAAGCTACTGACACACGCAGCAGTGGCGCTGCATCCAACTACGGCCGCTCACCGCCCCCTGAGCATCACTCGAGCCTGTCTTCGGCGCCACCACCTCTGCAGAACCTTCGCCGCTGCCTCTATCTCCGCTGCCTTCTTCGCGAGGGCGATCCTCGCCCGCCTTCCCTGTGACGACCACAGACAAAAGTCGCTCGCGTTGGCCTTCCGCGTATCGAGTGCGCTATTTTCTTGGGACTCCCTGCACCCGGCGCTATCTATTACCACCAGAACATTCGTCTTCACAACAGCGGACTGGCGTAGACACAGAAAGGATCGCGTCCGTGATGCCTAAGCTTCCACCTATCCCTCGGTGACTTGCTACCTTCATGTGTTGGCCTTCTAGTCCTTTTCTCTCAAAGCAGGCTGCAGCGGTACGCATCACTCAGCGCTGGTAAAACACGCCATCAATCACTACAGACCGTCCGTTCTGTGCGGCTGTACCTCGAACCGGCGCGACAGGTAAACTCTCATGGATCGTCTGCGCCACGCGAGCTGCACGGCCACCGCGGCCTCCTCCCTGCGCCGAAGGTACTCCTCCCTGGCCAAGACATCGCGCTTTGCACGCGCACGGCCGGCGCGCAATGAAAAAGAATGGCGTCAGGGGAGGGGGGGCGCGAGGAGGGCAAGGCAAGGTACTGCTGGACGTACGAAGCACCAATATAGCGACACGGGTCGACATAATGAGAGAAGGTCACAGAATGAGAGAAGAAGGTCTTGGATGGCACGGGTGGGGAAGAAACTCCACATTGTACGGGAAAAGCTTGCTTGTCGTTCATCATTCCGTACCACGAGCGGTGGGAACCAACCTCTCGTGCCAACTCGTTCCCCTACACAACAGAGGTACTTGCAGCTCCACCGGTGCGAGCTTAGTCCTTACACCACGTTCCGTCGGCCACGCTTCCGGCATGTACTGGTCCTTGCTGCTTACCTTCCTGCTTGTTTGTTGCTCGTTGTTTGTTATTGTAATTTTTTTTGTCTCACTGACAGCACGTGTTCTGACTTCTGACCACACTTTATTCAGTACACAAAAACTCCGGCAAGTGGCGGGCGGTAGTCACAGATTGGCTAACACAGGAAGGGTGCAATGAAAAATATGAACTCAAGAGGAAACCCCTCCGGCCTCGGGAAAAACAAACACGAAACGGCGGCCAACGTGCCCGCGCCTGATCTACCAACCCGACCGCGAATGGCTCGAAATAGATGTGGTTCGCGAGCAACGTATAATCTGTGATTCCCACGGGACTCCGCGCGCGTGTTCACCTTGTATGCTAGCTGGTATCGCGCGACGATTCGCAGGGTGGTGTAGTAGACTCCCTGGCGTCGGCGGTACCACAGCTGGATCTTGCTCACGGCGGCATTCATCTCTCGCAGCGATCTCGCCTTGAGAAAAAATGACGTGCCGAAGTATCAAGGTGGCGTGGGAGGAAAGATCAACCGCTCGAAACTCAGGTTACGGTTCGACCACAACGATAACAGCAACAGCAACACAGCAGCAACAGTAACAGCAACAACGTACACAAGCTACACCTAAAACAACACAAGATCAAGAAAGAACTGAGTGTAACCGGAACGTGCGCCTGTACCAGCGTGACACCCCGCACGAAAAGCAAAGCCCCCCGTTGGCAAGACGAAGCTCGCCAGAGGCAGGCACGCGACAGCCGTGGCATCCCCTGCCCCCCCACACAACAGAGTAGCACAGCAGGGCGGGATACACCACGCAGAAGCGGCCGAAGGTACCGGCCAGGACCATTGACAGGAAACATCGCCAAAGAACGGACACTAGTCGCGCGCACCTGCTCCAGGATGATCTTTCGAATAGCGAACCTCGACGCGAGCTCCTTGGCGTCCTTGCGGCGACGGCAAAGCCTCTGCAGCATCCTCGCCCCCCATTCCCTCTCGGCCGCGATTCGGCGGCGAGTCGCCTCTACCCTGGCCGCCAGCTCGACCCTGAGTCTAGCGCTCGCCCACACCCTCTGGAGCCGGAGGGCCGAGCTCTCTCTCCTGTCGTTGAGTATCTTAACCTTGCGCTTCGCGAACAGCCCCTCCAGGTGGAGCATCGCCTACTTGTGTTTTGTTTCGTTGACAGTTGTCGTGGTTGGCGCAAGATAGTGTTGAAATGTTTTGCGGGCGAGAGTGCTGGGAGCGTATCGTATACACACCACCACCGCCATCAATAGCAACAACAACAACAACAACAACAAGAAGAAGAGCAACAGGCAGAAAGACAGGCAGGCAGCAGGGAAAACGCACGACAATAACGTAAGCGTCGGTCACACGGCGCACCTTCCGCTTCCTCCATGCAAGTTGCACAGCCTCTGCCGCGCGCCGCTGACTTTCCTGCTGCTTCAGCACGGCGCGTGCCAGCTCGGATCCGGACAAACGCTTCGGAACCCCGTCCTCCCCTGCTAGACAACCCGCGCGGACTAACAATTACCTACCATGGGACGGGTAGTCAAATTTACCCTCGGCATCTTTCCGCGAGAAATCACGCATCTCGGCCGCCTTCTTCATCGCCACCCCCTTACTGCCGGCCGACCCCGTGGAGGATCGCGCAAGTTTTGGAGGGGGGCGACAGGTACTCTGGCCCCTCACTACCAAGCTTCAAAGATTATTTACCTTTGCTGTCCAAGAAAATCTACAACAGCGTTCTTTCTGCTGGACAACAAAAACACAACGCATCAAACACTTCGCCGTCATCATCAGCTCATACTTGCAGACACGCTTGACACCACCGCAAAACAAAAACAACATCGCGCCTCATCCCCACCGCAAAAACAAAAACATCGCACCTACGCCATCCTCATCGTCGCCGCCGTCGTCGTCGTCGAAGGCCCCGGACATGATCTGGGAGAGCGACACCCCGCGCGCGGCGGCGCTCGCCCGCAGCCGCGCCACCACCTCCGCAGGCCGGACCGCGTCCCCCATCGCCTCAAAGTCCTCCCTGCCGGCGGCCTCGCGGATGGCGCGGGAGGGCTCGAACATGACCAGGCACGCGGAGGCCAGCTCCGACCGGTTCCTCCGCTCGAAGTCGAGCTTGGCCTTGCGGGCGGCGAAGCGCTTGCTGAGCTGGTGCCGCTGGGCGCTTTTGCGGGCGAACGCCTGGAGGCGGGAGGCGGCGCTCTCGCGGGCCTTCTTGATTCGTTGTGCCGTCGCCTGATTGCGTGTGTGTGCGTGTGTCTTTATTAGTAGCATCGTCGGCGCTAACCGGTACAACAATGAAAGACGTCAGTCTCAGTGCGGTTGAAAACACAAAACACTTCGTAAGTGCCTTTGACTGGGACCCAGTGAGGGGGCGGCATGCGGGAGGCTAAGCTATTCTCCGGATTTAATGTGTGTGTGTGCGCGCGCGTTCAAGGGTAGAACGTCATACGCGTTGCTGTTTGTCTACGGACGTTGTCGAAAGGGTGATGACGGGGTTGTTTTGGCTTGCCTGGTGATTTTGGTTGCCGAGGCAAGTCATGGTACATGTTTTTTTCTCTGCTTCTCTCTCCGCCCGCCGTGCCTCACCTTGCTGCCTCCTTCTATCCAACTCTCCCTTCCAAGCCCCCCCCCTCACCCCCTCTCCCTCGCACCAAACCAAGCTCAACGTAATACCGCACTACTCAAAGCTCCCATCAAAGACCTAGCGGAAGCTAGAGAACTTTGCTACAGAAGACAGCGTGTAAAATACTGCTCCGAAATCTCACCGCCACACGGGCGTCAATCTCAGCCTGCAGCCTCCGTCGCCCGGCCGCCCTCTTCCAGGCCCGCTGCACGTCCACCAGCGCCTTCATGCGGGCGACGAATTCCAGTCGGCACCTCTTGCCCCTCCACGCGTGCGATATCACGGCGTGGGCGGCGTTGAGGACCCGGCGGTGCTCCGCCAGCTCCGCCTCGTAGGCGAGCCTCAGGGTCTCGTGCCGCGCCCTCAGCTTGGCGATGACGGCCCTCTGGGAGCGGTCCAGGCACGCCGACAGGAAGCCCCGCGCCATCGGAAGGATAACAGCCCATCTGAGTTTTCGTGTTGTGTTCGAGGGAGGGAGGGAGGGAGTTGCACTCGTCTGTCAAGAGCTCGCGCGCATTCGTCGGGTGATTTCTGACCGCTGTCGACCCTCTCGCGCATCGATCGGTAAGCTGGGCAGCCTACGTGCCGGTTTTGGAACGGTGAGTGGCACTTGCGAAGATGGTGGTAAGAGAGGCGCTCGTTCCCAAGGGTGTTGTTCGTGTTGGCGTCAGCAGAGGTCGTCGCAAGCAAGCAACGCGTGCGCATCTGAAATAGAATTCATGCGGCCAACACCAAATATTGACAGTCCCAAGCTCGTATCGTGTTTGTGAGACAAACCAGGATGGGCGAGCAGACAGACCAACAGACCGACAGGATACTCTGCTTCAATTGGATTTGTTTGAGGCCTGCTAGTTGACATGCTTGCCATGATGAGCCCAAACCAAACTGAGGCTTGGAATAACTCTACCCCACGCCGCTCAAGCGCACAAAAGAGACGGCGAGGCGCGCACGTAACCGGGCTTCCTGAAGCTAAGAAAACGATCAACCCCCGAATGTGACCAAGGAGTCAACGAAAGGAAGATTGGAAAGAAGAGCAGAACATAGAAAGTAGCATGGACGGACTCGTGCAACGGTAGGGGTGCACGAATCCCCTCTGGGTCTCAAACGTGAGAAGCTGTATATCTCAGCCTGAAACGGACATTGACACTATATGAAAATATGATGTGATAGGTAATCCGATGGGCTAGATGAAACACGATTGAACTTTAAAATCGGAGTTGATACTCGAAATTTTTAGTTGTTTACTCATCTGAATAACCGAAGGTTCTGGGCCATAATGTGCTATCCCTACCGTTGCATGACTCGACGTACTGCTTACCAAAGGGAGATTACGAACAATGCAATTGTCATAGAAAGTCATTTGGACGATGATATTGCTAAACGGCGAACATTTCAACGGGTTGAACGAAAACCCTTATCATTCATACACGTACCTCCTGGCGTGCTCCGCAAGCCGGCGGCGGTGCAACTCTTGGCGCTCCATCTCCGCATACTCCAACAATTGGCACCTGCTTTTTGGGGGGCGGACCGCACATCGGAAGAAAATCACGGCTGAGAGCAGAGCGCCTTTGATCACTCCATTGACTGCCAAGCAAATGACGTCACCCTCTGATGCGTGGAGGTTTGTGCCTCTCTTTTCCTCAGGCAGCTAGTACCCACACGATTCCCAACAGCTGGTCCTCCGCAAAGGGGTTCGAAACAAATTCCATCCCCTTCCAACCTCAACTCCGGCATGCGCCATCCCGGGGTCGCACGCTTGTGTCAACCTCTTTTGTGCTCAGAAATGAGCGGTGCAGGTAAGCACACGTTTGAATCAACCGTGAAGATGTCATGATTGGAGCAGAGTGAGTGCAAGTGCGAGTGCGAGAGAATACACCAACCAGTGCATTCAAGGACCAAGAAAGAAACGAAAAGTGATTCCATCGTGTCTTGCCTTCCGACGTGCCGCAGCCACGCGTCCTGCAACGCGGTGGCGGCGCGATGGTTGGCCTCGTAGCGCCTCTTTTCATCCACGAGGCGCAGCGTTCGCCAAAGCGTCTCCCTTCAAAAATGGGGGGCAATGGGCAGGACGAAACAAAAAGTAAGAAGCAACGCAGAATACTACTCCTGAAACACTTGTGACCCCGCTGCGAAAGAGCGAGAGACGGGGGGCTGCAGACTTGGCAAGATCCCTTGGTAGGGATTTTGGTCGTATCATTGAAACCCATGTCGGACACCCACGTGACTGACGTTTCACAATTATTCTTCCCCCGTCACCGCCTTTGAGTTATGAATGTGCCATCCATCGCCTCTGCGCACCCGCCACTCACCGGATGCCATATGGTTCCACCAATGATTAGTCTTTAACCCTCTAAAAAGCTCATCTGCTTCGCCCACTTGCTCTCTCTTGACCGTTTCTCACTCCCTCCCCATGCAACTGGCGCTTCACATGCGCTCTCTACTGTCCACTACACGCCGTGCAACCGGCGGTAACGAACTCCGTTGATGACCTTCGATTGTCTTCGAAGCTCAGCACCCCGGCGATGGCATCCGCCTTGTCTCGAGCGAGAGCGATTCTCCGGCGCTCTCTCTGCTCCAGAGCCCTGCGCCGTCGCCGCGCCGCCAGCCGCCTTCGCGCCCACCGCTGGATCTTGATAGCCCCCACCCTGGCTTGATCCTGTTGTTGGTGTTGGTGTTGCTATTGTTATTACTATTGTTATTGGTGTTGGTGATGGTGATGGTGTTGGAGGTTGTTGTGGTCGTCGTCGTGGGCACTCATTGCAAAGCACGTGACGATGACAGCGTGCGGTTGCGACTAAACCTGAGCCCGAAGCACAGTGTTGTAGAGCGGAACTACAAAGTACCAGCCACGGGCGAGAATAAAACGCTACGAGAACACACCTGATCCTCGGCCAAGCGCGCCAGCCTCACGCGTTTTCTCCACCCCAAGAAACGCCTCCTCGCCTGCTTAAGCTCCCACCGCTTCCTGATAGAGGAAAGCATAGCGAAAAGCCTAGCGTGCTCGTACCTGAAGAGAACGCCACCGTTTCCGCCGGCGGCGTGGCATGAGCAAACGGCGGACACATGAGGAACCGGACAGGGCAGCGCAACACAAGAGAGGAAAAAGAAGATGAAGGCGTGAATATCGAGAGGCGAATGGAGGTGTTTTTCGTCGGGCAGCCGCTTGCAGGGAAGAAATGGCGTTGTGAGGTCACAAAAGCCTCTCTGAACCAAGGGGTTTCCTCATAGCCATGCACGACCAAAGTGCGCCGGGTTTCCGCCGACCAGGCTGGCGTTATGAGCGTAGGGGCCGGGACCGTCAGCGCGTGTAGTCCTTTGGATGAAGGTTTATAGTCTCCGGGGCGCCTTCATGACAACGACGACTCTCGGACGATTTGCCAAATAGCGACCTGAAGGGGTGGATTAGGGCTTGGTGACTGCCTTCAGCACATTCTTGGAAGTGGAGGGTACAAAAGCGAAACGTGAGTTTGCACATGGTGCGACCGGTCACAAACTTTGAAAGGAAACAGCGGCCGAATAAACTAGACGTTGCACTGACCAAGCGAAGACACGGCCGGAGCCACGTTTGAACAAGAAACAGCGCAGACTATGCGTTGGTCGGAGAAACAAACGGGGGGGGGAACTTAGCGTACGAAAGAATGAAACAGGCGCTCCTCCAGCCCGCCCCCCGTAATACGCACACACACGCACCGGAGCATTTCTTCGGCGAACTCGTCGGCACGGGCTTTCTCCAAGGCCTGCGCCCACCTTGACAGCGCGACGGCCTTGCTCCAGCGGTGCGACTTCCCGAGCGCGGCGCACATGCGCGACAGCCTCGACTTTCTGCAAGCGTCGATATTTTTGAGGGGAGAGACACAGGCCGGGGGTTTCTCGACGAGGACAGGGGGGGGGGGGGGGAC